GTTGCTGTATGTGGGACTCGGCCTCAGGATGGACGGAGAAGTGGTGCCTCGGTGCGCACCCGGGATCCGAACCCAGGCCACCAGCATCGGAGCGCATGCACTTAACCACCAAGCCATGGGGCCGGCCCTGTAAGCATAGTCTTGAGTGTGTGGTTTTTCCTAGATCAATTTCTTATTCTTGTTGGGGGGAAGCCTTACGGGGCTAATGGAGATAGCCTCCAAGCCACCCTTGGCATTGTCACTGAGGACTGCACTAATTCTTTGCTCATTTTAAGTCAAATAAAGCTTCAATTAATACCATATTCTACATACACCTAAATTAGGACACCTAGGTCTTGTTTTGGATGAAAGGCTCTGAATGACAGCATCAGAGGTGCCCCATCTAGGGCTCAATGCTTATTAAAAATAACAAATGACGGGCCAGCCCTGTGGCTTAGCGGTTAAGTGCGTGCGCTCTGCTGCTGGCAGCCTGGGTTCGGATCCCAGGCGTGCACCAACACACCGCTTGTCCGGCCATGCTGAGGCCACGTCCCACATACAGCAACTAGAAGGATGTGCAACTATGATATACAACTATCTACTGGGGCTTTGGGGGGGGGGGATTAAAAAATAATAAAATGGGCCGGCCCTGTGGCTTAGCGGTTAAGTGCGCGCGCTCCGATGCTGGCGGTACCGGTTTGGATCCCGGGTGCGCACCGACACACCGCTTGTCCGGCCATGCTGAGGCCACGTCCCACATACAGCAACTAGAAGGATGTGCAACTATGACATACAACTATCTACTGGGGCTTTGGGGGGGGGGATTAAAAAAATAATAAAATGGGCCGGCCCTGTGGCTTAGCGGTTAAGTGCGCGCGCTCCGATGCTGGCGGTACCGGTTTGGATCCCGGGTGCGCACCGACACACCGCTTGTCCGGCCATGCTGAGGCCACGTCCCACATACAGCAACTAGAAGGATGTGCAACTATGATATACAACTATCTACTGGGGCTTTGGGGGGAAAGTAGGAAAAAAAAGGAGGAGGATTGGCAATAGATGTTAGCTCAGGGCCGCTCTTCTTCAGCAAAAAAAGGAGGATTGGCATGGATGTTAGCTCAGGGCTGATCTTCCTCACAAAAAAAAATAATAATAATAATAATATATAAAAATATATATGTATACTAACTACTGCCATTCCTCCACCAAAGAAAAACCATCTTTCCAGTCAACAGTGTTGACCAGAAATTGCAGGCAGGATTCTCAATCCTCAGGGTTTGAGCCCCCATCCTCTTTGGAAACAAACCTCTACTACTGCAGACTCCTTTCCAGCCTCGGACCGGCCACCATTCTTGCTTCTACTGCCCAGGAGACTTGCTCTCTCTTCTTGGCAGCAGCTCTGGGGGCTGCAACATCTGGTGTCCAGGTACTGCTCCTCCCCAATAAATGTGCATCTGCCTGAGCTCTGGCACCCACAGATCCCTCCTGCCTGGGCAGCTGCTATTGCACCCTGGCTCAGTGAGAGCAGCCTGGCCTCCCCAGCCTAAAGACCCCTTGAACACCACCCACCACCAGCTTATCCCCAAGCCAAAGCACAGCACCACACAGTTCCCTTCCAAAGCAGGAACCCTATCTTCAATCGCATAGTCCTCACCAGCTACTGCCCAAATCACTCGGAGACTCGGACCTCCATAACACCAGAAAGTTCTATGTGTGCAGAAAGTTCTATGATGGCGCCAGGAATGCCACTGTCCTGGGGTAGACAAATGGGATACAAACCTGCCTCCAAGAACTCAGAGCAGTTGCCATCCTGGCTGCTGTCTGCCACTACTGACCTCAGACCACTCCTGGGCCCTGCTCTTGCAAGGCTTCTGCTGGAACTCCCCAAGTGTTAGAGATGAGCACTGCTTTCCACAGCAACTCAAGGCACTACTGGAGCCTCACTTCTTACTGGCTGCCGCAGAGCCATCGGGCCAGTGAACTGGGAGGTGAGGCCTTGGTCTGCCAGAGACACATTAAGTTGGCAACTTCAGTAAAAGTGGGTCCAGACACTCAGGTGTGCTACTCAACTGCTATGGACTGAATTATGTTCCACCAAATTCACATGCTGAAGCCCTAACCTGATAGGACTGTGGCCTTATAAGAAGAGGAAGAGAGAGATCTCTCTGTCTCTCATTCTCTCTCTCTCTCTCCCCCCATCATG